AGTGTGTCGAGAGCATCAAGGAGGCCAAAATTAATGAGAAAGTGATGCTCTCCTTTGATGCTGTCTCGCTTTTCACTAACGTCCCGCTGATCGAAACCATCGATTACATTTGCGAGCAGATAACGAAGTTGGAAATTAAGCTTTGTATACCTGTGCTTGAGTTGAAAAACTTAATGCTGCGGTGCACATGGAATGTGCACTTTCTATTTAATGGTAAATTTCACCGGCAAAACGATGGCGTAGACATGGGATCCCCCCTCGGTCCATTGTTCGCAGGTATGTTCATGGCCAAATTGGAGCAAACGAAATTGCAAGCGGAGATAAAATCTTTTGATTACTACCATCGCTATATGGATGATTTATTTATAGTCGCGGATAAATGCATAAATCTGGATGAGGTTCTCGACCGATTTAACCGGGCTCACGCAGCTTTGCAATTTACCTACGAGGCAGAAACTTGCAATCGGCTTCCGTAGCTAGATGTCTTGTTAACTAGGAGGCCAAACGGCTCCATCCAGCGGAGTCTACAGAAATAATACGTGGATTGGTCAGTACACGAATTTTCAGTTTCGTCCCACTGAGATATAAGCGAAACTTAATCCACTGCCTTACCACAAGAGCACATCGAATTTGCTCACAAGACACCCTGGATGAGGAACTAGCCTTTATAAAGAATACGCTGCGCGAGAATGGCTACCCTCCGCAATGGATTCATTATTGGGTTTTCTTACTACCAGCTACTGCTACTTCACTGCTACCAATCCCGCACTGAAGATGCCACATCGAATGGTGGCGAAACGTCTGCAACCAAGTTGCCCAGCTCGGAGAACTCCACAACAACTGAGCAAGCCTCCCGAGCTACCAATATTCCAATTCATTTCGATCCTGACGAACGCCACTTGTGGTCGGAAAGCTATCTGATAGGCCACCGTAGACCCTGACGCGGCCTGTGGTGTTCGAGTATAGAGCAAGCAACATGTTCACATATTCCATGGGAACACATTTCCGCGTAAGTATTTCGAACAGAATCGATCGACCGACTGAATCGAACGTATTCTTGAAATTGAGGAACACAGCTATTGTCTGCCTGTGGTATACGTGGCGCTGCTCTATCACATGGCGCAAACTGAATATATGGTCCATACAGCCACATCGCGGCCGGAAACCCGCCTGCTCTACCCTAATCCGAGATTCCTGTTCCACAATGAGGCGACGAACGAGAATCGAGGCCAGTAATTTTGTCACAATTGACGTTAGGCTAATACCCCTGTGGTTAGAACAGTCTGTGCGACTGCCCTTCTTGTATGTTTCCGCTATAATCGTCCCGGCTCCAATCAGCCGGGACACTCTCTTCCTTCCAGATACATTCCAATAGGGAGGTCAATGCTTTGTAGAGAACCTCACCTCTATCCTTAAACAGTGCAGGTGGGAGGGAATCTGCTCCAACGGCACGAGAATGATTGGGGGCTGTGTGATCGCGTTTCGGACCTCGGCCTCCGACAGAGGCTCTAAACTAACCGCCCATGGCTCGTCCTGCACCACCCGAGTAGGAAGTGTTCCGGGAGCAGGGGGCCAGCTGAACTGATCTTGAAAGTGTTCTGCCCAACGAGCCGTACGGCTCTCCGTATTGTGTATCAGTGCAACCGCGCTGTCGCTGATTGTCTCACTGACGCCCGGTTTTCTGGGAGTGGTGTCGCGGCTAAGGTGGAAGAGTATGCCATATTTTCCTGCGCCTCCGGCCTCCTTTATTTCATGAGCCTGAGTGGTTAACCAGGCTTCCTTATCAACACGTAGGCTCCGCATTAGTTCGCGCCTTATAGGCCGTCTGGTCACACAGTCCTCAGAGCGAGCCGGGAAGTTTCTTCTAGATTCCAACAGGTTCACCGACCTCTCGGATTTCCAGTGACCCGTGCGGTGACGTTTGATAGTACCACAAGCAGATGCTCCTACGTCGTGTATTGCGGCCGAGATCCTATCCCACCGAAGCTCAGTGGCATTAGAACAAGACAGCGAAAGTTCGGTAGGCAGTGCGTCTTGATAGGCTTACCTAACCGAGGGTTGAGACAGTTTCTCAGTTGCCAATCGGAGGAGAGGCTTGGTGCGTCTCCTGGTAAAGTTCATGGAAAAACGACAGCGTACCATGGCACGATAAGAGTCGACACAGGCACTCCAATATGAGCGGCAATCCAGCATGGAACCACGCCACTTGTAAATTATGGCCATGTGGTCAGTTTGGGTCCATCGCTGGCCTGCTACAGGATGCCAAGTGGCACTTCGACGCCCACTGTGTCTAAAAGCAGTGCTACTAAGAAACAATTGGTGCTCAGCACACAGTTGCAGCAGACGCTCGCCGAACGTTGGGAGTTAAGCCCACAATTACCACCTAGTTTAGCTTCTGAAGACCTCAGACGCCCTACTTGTGCGTGCATATTCCCTACAAGTACTATAATATAGGAACTAGTAGCACTGCGTAGTAGTCGGTTCAGTTCATGATAGAATGTGTCCTTGAAACCATTAGAACTGCAGTCGGTGGGAGCATAAGCGGAAATCCCAAACAAACAACGTTTTGTACTACTTCGTGAATCAACCTTAGCTGACGTGGTCAAGCGGGTTGCACCTAAACGGCTGTTCACCGGTATCCAATCAATCAGCAATGTCTCAGCCTTAGAGCTTGGAATGATACCTACGCCAGCTTGACCTGTGATTGCTGCATCGGCGTCTCCGGATGAGGGAAACCAAGAAGGAGAGGATAAGCCGGATGCAGTTAATTCACCAACTCCATTAGGGTCATTTATCCTAGTTTCGGACACACAACACGCATCAATACCCAGTGTGTCTAAGGTGCGTGCGAGTGCAGCCTGTTGACCTATTTGTCTTCGAGTGTGAACGTTGAGCGTAGCCATGGAAACGGGACAGTGTGGCGTTATAAGGGTCGGTTGCCGATGGGCTTCGGGTGCGTGTCGCGAGAAGGTGGCTGCAGATGATTCTACTCCAGTGGCACTTCGGTTGCTGTCAATTAAGCTGGGAATTATAGAAGGAAGGTTAGTAATGGGGGTCGGCATGGGAGTAAGAGAAACAGGTGGAAAAGAAAGAAGGGATGCGCCAGCAGTAGCATGTTTTCGCTTATCCGCCCTGCTGTATGAAGCAGGTAAGGCGACCCTTGATAATCTGCGCGACGGCCGATGCAGGATGAAAGTTACGTTTGAAGAAAAAGTCATGGTTGTATGTGTGCTGAGATGCTGCCGGGGCGCCCAGACCTAGACATGGGGACGATTAGGGTGCTCATCCAAAGCCTTTAGCTCAAAAGCCTGTCCGCAAGGCAGCGGAGAGGTGGTAATGATTTAGTATTACAGAAATGGACGCCATATATTTCCAAACCCCCAACCTGGAGGACCAGAAGACTGAGTTTGTCTGACCTCTCATCATTGACCAACCTGGTAGGAGTAGCTCTCAAGGTGCCCAGACGCACCACCCAGTATAGCTCAATGGGTCAAGGAGGTCCGAAAAGCGTCGCATCACGTTAAAGTCCAGTCTTGTTGCGACGGACGTCTGGTACACATGATTCCCAAATGGAATAGACGGGAATGCTGTTGCTGTGCGTAATGAAGAAATGTGAACAGGCTCCGTTGATGAAACGTGATCACTATCCACCTGCCTCCGGTCTTATTCTTTTGGGTTTACACTGGATGTTGGGTGTGTGGATGGAGCTGTGGGTGGTGCAGAGGAGCCACCCATAGTCCATCTGTAGGCGCAGGCGTCCTGTGACTATCCTATGAAGAACGCAGTGACAGGTAAATGCGAAAGCGGATACCGCCAATTGTATATAATCACGTGAAGAGTGATATTGGAGCCGCAATAACTCATTGAAATCAAAATGAATGACGATTTTAGGGCCACGGCAAAGAAACATATTTTGATGTTTCACACACTGATATTTTTCTTTCTCTGTGAAGCTGCAAAACGGAATCACTACTATTCTATATACAGATTTCCGCTGATTTCGGCTGCAAACCATGTCCTTTAATGTGTCGAACCACTGGCACTTCTCACTAATGCGTTCCCAGCCAGGGGTACGTAAGTGTCTAATGAGGACTTGACTTCACATCAGCGGTTTCATGTGTTGTCGACAAATGGAAGGCCGACCACCACTCGATCTTGCAAGGGCCAATATAGCGCAGCGCCACAAACACTCGGGTGCCATGTGTAGAATCTGACCGAACCATCTTAACTTGCGTAGTGAAACTGGCATGTTGAAGAAATTACACACGTTCCCTAAAACGCGCCTTCGACAATCGAAGGCGAAAAGCCGTGAAATGGTTAAAGATCGCTCCCATACAAGAACGCTGAGCGAATGAACGCGCCGTAAACCCGGAACTCTACTGACTAGAGGTCCGGGCAACGTCACGTGTGTCTCGGATTGGCAAGTGTTGATGGGGTTTAGCAAAGACAAGGGCGTGATCAGGGTACATGAAAGTGGACCAAAGTAGTCTTCAGTACATTAAGCTGCCCAACCATTTACAATGGGATTATTTTAAAACTGGCTGCATTCACGAATGGGAGCGCCAAGTAGCGGACGACACTATAGATGCATTCCAGAGCTGAAATGACTTTTGCCACAAGGCAGGAAATCGCTTTAGGCCTTGTACTAACAAGATAATCATTGGGAACCGTCAGCCTTTGGTCGCTAAAGTGGCATCCAAATAAACAGATTTAGATAGTCGTGCAATCAAATAACCTAGTTCGGTGATCAATGCTGGTAGCTAGGCCTCAGAACTGCTTGCTGGATGTTTTCTCACAATACTACAGTGGTAGACAGATTACATCGCCGTGTGAATCATTCGGGAACGATGATTGGCGTTCAGGTTAACCGGACATTCAGGCAGGACGCGTCTTCCTGTGAAATCTAAAGGTAGTGTTAGTGGGATTAAACATGGATGTGCATGTGAAACTGGACATGTTCATCGCTACGGTAACAAAAAAGGGCATAATGAGTGACTCACCCAAACTGTAAGACACAATACCAGTTGGTTTGAAAGCCAACGAGGCATGAGACAGATAATCAATGAGATTTGATAGTGCTGGTGGAATTGCGCGGTTGTATTCGCAAGTTGTGACTATCAGTCTTTCTGCAGCGGTAACTCTCTTAACCAAATCGCGAATTTTCTCTGGAGCCTGTCGCGGAGGATCTTGGTGGTACGCATATGGGATATCCAACATCGGAAGCTGCAACTTTTTTGGGTCTGAAACATGGCACAGTAAGAGAAATCTGCCGAAGTACAGAGCAAATGCTGCAGGTAGAACGTAAATATTTCTGAATACTGAGACAAGCACGGGTTTGCATAAGAGAGCGGGGGATTCGATAGCCAATCGGTACCCTAGTAAAGAATCAAAATAATGCATCAAAGTTGATAGGCTAAGTAAAACTCAGTAACCCGCGGAACAGTTTGATAGTGCCCGAGACACTTGTGCAGGTTAGCATCAAATCCAGTACAGGCACATTGCTAAGACGGCTGCACCGTTTCGGCTGCTTGCTAAAATCTTAACGAATCTCTCATCTATTGAGGCATGTTCTGGATAGCAGAACCAAGAGTAGCAGAAATTGGTTTACTGTGTGTGACCGAACTATCACAAAGAAAAGTAAGGGATCCCAAACCGGTATTCATGAGTCGGTCGATTTAAAATTTAGTGATAATTGTCGTGATATTTTTCAACACCAGAGACCATGTATCCAGACGATGTACGCAGAGCATTTCGTGCAGACACGAAACATGGTGTCAAATGGGTGGTATATGGGCAAATTTAGAACCGCTTTTGGAGTACCCATGTAGTTGGATTGCGATACGCAATCGCTATAGACGTCGGTTTACTATGAAGTAGAACGCGGATATTCCGATCGCCAAGAACGTAGGGGTTCGGTGTTGCTCTCTCCTGACCATGAAGCCGCATGACCGACCTCCTCGTCTGGACTCATCAGGTTGGGATAGCGTGAGTCGGAAGCGGAAATTTGGGTCAAATGGTCAACGGTTGACGCCTTGATCACCCGGCCACGGAGACTGTAACCGCTGTGCCAACTGTTGCCCGCGGACCTCAGTGGGCTTGTGATCAAGCCTTCCGCTGTCAACTGTTAGCCTCCGCGTTTCAGTCCCGGCTCAGGCTATCTCTACCTGATGAGCGTAAAGGAGGTTGAAACCGATCCTGAGGTGTCAGTGTGGGAAGAGAACAACACCGTAACCCCTGCATTTCTGAAACGGTAGATATGCAAATGTTTACTAGTGCATGCGAAAGATTTTGGTTCAGAATGCAATATGCTGGATTGAGACTTAAAGAAAGGGTGCAACAAAGGATAAGACTGAAAATGCGGTTAGTTATGCACGGACCAAGTGTCCAGCCTTACTATCTGAAATAAATCTGAAGAAGAGTTATCAGGAAACTGCAACTGGATATACGCAAGCACCAAAGAATAAGCGTGAGTATGAGAATATTGCAACCTGATCCGTGAATGCTTCTCAGCAATCGACGGATGATTTGCAGATGGGTAATTTAACTTGCATGTCCCTACCTCCAATTTTATCTGCTTCATACGAAACTTATCGCTCTATGCATTACGTTGACTACCTTTATGGACACGCTAATTTTCATTGGCATTGGGTAATCGCAGTAAAGTACGTGTCATCTTTTGTTTTACCGAAGTTGACTTCGAGGGAAGCAGACTTGTGTCACCGGCGTTATTTATCACCAAGTGAATTTGGCCATTACAATTATCATCTCACATACTGTTGAATTGGCCCAGTAACCTGATGGAAAATATATGATTATTTTCTTCACGAATTTACTGCTTCCCTAACAGACTACCTTCGACGAAGTGTTAACAATCTCCATTTGCTCCCTCCTGCCCTCAGTGATGAACCTGGTAGCAAACATCTAACTGGCATTTATGATTCAGTAAAACTTTTGGAAATAACATAGACAAGGCACTTGTAAAAGTGGACAGATTTACTTACCGACGATATCCACATCATGACCTTTGAGTTTTAATCTTTGCTCCACTAGTTTTAGCACCCTGTCATTCATCCTCTCTGGTCGGACGGAGGCACCGAAAACAACCGTTCTGCCTGCAATCATCTTGCTTGCACCACTTTCACCGCTTCGTTTTTTATCTCAATGTGGTCGACTTGGTAAGTTGACTAAGGACTCACTGCGCCCGATACCGTTAGCTCATTGGTCGGATGTGACCTTGTCACGAGGAAATTAATGTGCGCTGTGTGGCCGACGACCTCGTGGTCGCAAGCGAATCGGATGTTGATCGATACACCCTGTCCACCAGCTTCAGCCAAGCCATCATTTACTGTAAATAGAACAAAACTAAGGTGATCGGCAGTGAGAATATGGGCTACACGGCCTATCTACTATTCCATGTGAAACTGACATGGCACTATGGGTTTGCATTAGCTATAGATAAATCCCGATTTTGATGGCTTTCACCAGAAAACACAGGCGTTAAGCAGCCTCCTGTAAAAGAGTATCAACTTCACCTGGGGATGGGTCGGTGTCATATATATGTCCAAGAGTTGGGCAGGTTGAATCTTTCGATAATACATAAAATTCAGACTCCCGGTGAAGATACCACTTCCGTTGGATAAGAATGAGGGAACTGCTACTTGTTACAGTATTTTCCTTGCAGCTAATCGTTGTACTGGATCTTGACAATGATACGCAACTATTTTATCATGCAACAATGTATACAGAAAGCCAATTGACATCTTACATTTACGGGGACTGCTCGGGCCAACAGTGGTCCTGAGAGTAGATTAGAGAGAGAGAGCGCACATTTCACTAATCTAATGTGGTTGATGAGGAACTTCTTCAATGATTGAGAATGCGATTCAACTGAGAATGCCTTGTTGTAGTGCATTAGCCCCCACAAGATGCGCAATATACTTTGACTATATGGTTGGCGGCATCCGGCTTCGGATTTGCCTGCCACTGTGGCCAGCCACAGGACACCTGCGCCTACAGAGGGACCATGGGTGGTTTACGCTGCACCATCCACAGCTCCAACCACATACCCCATATCCAGTGTAAACCCAAAGGAATAAGACCGGGAGACATGTGGACGGGAGCTACGTTTCAACAACGCAGATCCACACTCCTTCACAGGTAAACACAAGTATGCTGCATTTGGGGAATCAAGTGCACGCAAGGCGGTGACTTGACTGTAGTCCGCTCCACACTGAATGCATGGAACCACTCTTCGAGCGTAGCACGGCCACAAGGACCGTGCACCCCGTCGTCTCCAGCAACCACCAACCGTCTCCTGGAGCCAGTACGGACGAGCTAGTGGGTAATAGACAGGTAGTCATCTTTTCAACATGCACATCTAGCGCAGCCACACCGGGGATATCAAGATACAGTCAATCACTTAGAACGACGATATCAAGTAAAATAAATCGAATAGTGCATTCAGATCCGATGATAAATCTCCTCAATACATGAGCATATGAAATAAATTGGTTGCCAAAATATCTGCTGTAGGTTCAAGACGACCAAAAAATATTTTAAGAAAATATCACAAACGCGTAAATGTTGTCAAAGTTAACTACACTTAACTAGTTAATAGAAGATAGTTCACGTAGACATTAATGAGACAATATAGCAAACACACCACCTGAGATAAAGAGACTTAGCATGCAAGCAAGCGGTTGGTAAATCGAATGCACTGTACCTATCAAAGCTGCGCCGGTTCTGCCTACGTTCTCAGAAGGACGAGCCATCATTTCGTTGTTGGCCGAGAGTGGCCTCGCTCATGGCTCACTAATCCTTCCTGACTCAGCCACTCGCGATCGCATGTACTACAGCACCATGCGCCCGATGTCGATGGAGTACAACCCATCGGTGCTTGCCGCTTCCGCACTTGCCGCTTCTTCTCTGCATGCATAAGGGGTTTCTTCTGCAACTCGGCAATTGCCTTCGTGATCAGATCGCGCCATCCACGCCGATCGACCGCCTCCGATTCCCATGACCTGCAATCAAGATTAGTACATGACTGGCTCGCTTTGATCATGTTCTGGTAAAGTAACTCCGGTTTCCCCACATGCCGCTTCCCAACACTCAGCTGACCATATAACAGCTGCTTCGGTATCCGCGTCGAATCCAACGACACACATGACCGAGCCATCTCAGGTGTCGCAGCAAAGGTATGCAGTCCACTGCATAGATTCCACTTCAACACAACGCTTCCGTGTCCGCAACTCTGTCGCCCCAACCGATGCGCAGAATTCGTCGCAAACACTGTTGATGGAACCGCTCGGGATATCGCACATCTCGTTGGTGTATCGTCCAAGTTTCGCTGCCGTATAGAAGAACGGACAGTACCATGCATTTGTACACCAACGATAAGCTGATGGTTGTTCCGCAATCGGTAATCCAGCTTCAAGAACGCCGCCGCTGACTTCGATACTCGAATGCGCAGCTCACTGTGTAGCTGCTGGTCAGTCGCAACAACACTCCCAAGATAGCAGAAGCGGGAGGTGGTTTCTAATACATCAGCACCAATGCTGATTCGCGTCACTATTGCAGATTGCACCTCCGCTGAAGGCTGAAAGAGACAGACAGTCTTACTTGTGTTGATGGTTAGCCCCTGTTTTGCCGTTGTTGAAGCCAGAGCATTAGTCATGAGTTGCAACTCATCCGCGCTGTGTGCAAACAACGCACAGTCGTCAGCAAACAGCAACATACGAATAGTTGTCTCACGGACTAAGATTCTCGCACCGAAACGACGGATGTTCAGCTACCCACAAACATTACGGTGCCGCATACGAACACCGTAAGCACAAGCCGCATCAAAAGCAAAAGACATCATTGCATGAAGATAAATATTAAACAGGGCAGGAGCTAAGAAACAGTCTTGCTTCATACCAGAGATAACTGCAAAGTTACCCGAGGTCTCTCCACTCAGCTGCACCCTCGACCGCATACCACTGCAGACATTCAAATAAACGTACAAACTAACGCGGACAACAAAACTTATCCAACACCAGCCACAATGCCTCGCGGTTCCTGTACCAAATGCCTTGGTGAAGCCAACAAACAGCGAGTACAGCGGCTGGTGTCGTTTTCTGCACATCTCCTAGAACACCATATCCATGGTACTGAGATCCGCACGAAAACTACATTGCCGTTCCGCCACGGTCGGTTCCACAACCTGTCTGACGAGGCGGTTGAGCAGGATTCGGGCATTCATCTTGCCCACACAACTCAACAAGTTGATGCCACAAAAATTCGTGCAACATTGCTTGCTCCATTTGCCGTTATACAGTGGTAGCACAAGAGCATCCTTCAGCTATGGAGGCACCTCCTCCTCAATCCGTACGCGTTGCACCAACTGGTGCACCGCAGTCACTAACGCAGGTCCGCCGTGTTTCAATACTTCAATCGGGATCTCGTCGTCACCTTCACACTTGCCGTTTCGCAGCTGAGCAAGTGCTCTCTGCGTCTCATCCAGTGTCGGCGTGTCCGCCAGACTGGCCTTCACATCGTGCTGCCGTGCTGCTGGCATTCAAATAGGCAGTCAATCTCTAAACGATTGTTCAAAAGACAGTCAAAGTGATCTCGGCAGATCTGCATTCTGTAGCGCCTGAACTATCTTCGATCAGCGTGCTCAGTGGTTGCAACCTCGATCCACACACGGCCTTCAAGGAGTCAAAGAATTCAATTGTGTTGGTGGCGTTCGGTGTAGTATTCCATCTGATTTACCTTCTCCGTCCACAATCCATTTTTAGTGCCACGGAACTCTCGAGTCAGTCACAATCGAAGCCTGCGAACCTTTCTCTTCTTTCCCAGGTCACTGGCGTTTGTCACATGTGTAGGAAATGCTACATTCTTCTCTGTTATCAATGCGCCAGTTGTCGCATTGTTCTCCTCAAACCAATCGGACCGCTTACAGATTGCGCGCCCAATGGTCTACTCGGCAGCTGCTGTCACGTTGTCCCGAATATAGTGACGCAGATCACTCAGTTTGGCTACGCATTCCACATCACTCAGGCATGCAGCCATCGCCTTTACCAGCTCAATAAGTTTCGCCACAGCACCGAGGGAGAATGCTATTTTTAAGTCGATTCTACACGGGAGTGCAATACATAGATTTACGAAAGTATATGTACGGTTGGTTCCGCACCAATTTGTGTTCAGTGCCACATTCAGCTCCACAGAGTACACGTGTCATGCGCACTTCACGCAAATCACGCTGACCTAAGATGACATAGTCGAGCAGGTGAACGTGACCACTCCGTGGGCGCGTCCAAGTTGCTATATCACTCGCACTCAGTGTATACTGAGTGTTTGTGATCGTTAGGCCGTGAGTGGCACACAGTGAGAGCAGCTTGTCACCGTTCGCATTCGCTAAACCAATGCCATGCGGCCCGATGACATCCCTCCACACCGATGCATCACGCCCAAAGCATGCGTTGAAATGACCCAGCAGAAATAGTCGGTCACTCTTGAGCGCAGAACGTACCACGCAGGATTGCTGAGTATAATATTGGTCACGCATCTCATCAGGATAACACTTGGACCGTATGTGCTTATAAAAGTAGCAAACTTACCTCTTCCGAACCCTAGGTGAGCAGTCATCAGCCGCGCGCTGATGCCTGTTGTTTCATCCACCAACTGGCTACTAAGGCGATCGGATGTTGCAAATCCGACCCAATGTTCACGTAGTGCTGAGGTGGCGTTGCCCACAGTAGAACGCGTAGCCAGCACCTGCATCATGCAACTTACCTTGCTCAGCGAGCCGAGTCTCACTGAACACCGCAATATTGATGTTGTAGCGCACCAGTTCCATCGCGACCAGTGCAGTGCATCGCTCAGGGCGCTAACCCAAGTTCCGGTCCAGTAGTGTGCACACGTTCCAGTACCCGATTCTGAGTGCTTTGCGCGCAGGTATGCGATTGCATTGGTGGGCAATCGCACGCGACGTGATGGTTGTGCTTCGGAGGTTTGCTTGAGGGACTCAACCCGGAGCCATTGGCTCAATAGCCTGACCCACAAGGCAATGGAGGATTTGGAGATTTGCTTGAGGTATTCCGCCCGGAGCCTATGGCTCAAAAGCCTGACCCACAAGGCAGTGGGGAGCAGATTCAGCTAGGGAATGTGATTGCAGAGACAGATTAGTGATCTGCTTGAGGTCCGTCACACGCAGTCTTTGAGGTACCGGAATGATTCATTTACGTTTTGCGACTGTAGTATGATACGGATCTGCGACCACGGTCAGAAGCAAGAAGGTTTTGACGGGTTTGCACCAATTTG